GAATCTAGTAGTAATATTAAGTGAACTGTTTACTAGTAAATGGTCAAGCTTTTATTTAAAAGATTTAATCTTAAAGTCTTCTATAGACAAGCTGCCTGATATTCAGGTTTATGAATCTAGTAGTAATATTAAGTGAACTGTTTACTAGTAAATGGTCAAGCTTTTATTTAAAAGATTTAATCTTAAAGTCTTCTATAGACAAGCTGCCTGATATTCAGGTTTATGAATCTAGTAGTAATATTAAGTGAACTGTTTACTAGTAAATGGTCAAGCTTTTATTTAAAAGATTTAATCTTAAAGTCTTCTATAGACAAGCTGCCTGATATTAATAAATTTTAAGTCAGGTTTATGAATCTAGTAGTAATATTAAGTAAACTGTTTACTAGTAAATGGTCAAGCTTTTATTTCAAATATTTAATCTTAAAGTCTTCTATAAACAAGCTGCCTGATATTCAGGTTTATGAATCTAGTAGTAATATTAAGTGAACTGTTTACTAGTAAATGGTCAAGCTTTTATTTAAAAGATTTAATCTTAAAGTCTTCTGTTTATCATCATATTATTTCATGGGTACAATAAAAAAACATCCAAAACATTGATGTTTATACCATCACACATCATAATTAGCTGTGTAAAAAATATTTTTAAAACTATTAAAATTAGCAAAATAAAATTACCAAGAAGATAACGAAAAAAAAGTGCCAGTAATCAATCCTAGTGACAAAGAAGCTTCTAGTTGTGTCTCTGGATTTTTGTGGGTCATTAATATCCTATATATGTAATTCAGTAAAATGGAAAGGTCCATTTTTGTATGTTTTTTTGCCAAATCTCAGACATAGTGTCTTAATTGTATTTAGATACAGAAATCTGTTCCAATTTGATCAAAGACAAAATAAAGTGGATGCCTCTAGACTTAGGGTCTTTAGTTTGGTCTCACATGCCAAGTCGATCCCAACCATGTCGTTTTGAGGAACCAGTTACATGGAAACTGATAATTTCCTTGCCTCAAGAGGGCTGCAGTAAAAGTCAAGATATTGATGATGCTATTGTATGGTTGACCACCAAGTTTCGAAAAGGATACAACTTGGATTACGAGAAACAGAATGAGGTTAGTTTTGATTTCACTGTACGTGTATACCCTTATTTCTGATATGTCATTTTTTTGTAATTGGTAATTAAAAACACACATTAAATTAATATTAATGTAACTATCAATGTAACATTTTAATGTCAAAAATGCACATGACATACAAGATTAAATATTGTATTGATGCTCCTGTTTACGGCTATCGTTTAGACTCTAGCTATTGCAGCTTCAGTTGAAAGCTGTATAATACCGAAACTGTTGAAACTTTTAGGTTAGTGAATGAGTCATCAAAAAACTGGGCCTGTAATAACTTCAAACACCCCTTTGTTAGCTTCAATTACGGTGTGTATTAACAATATTTAAACTTTGCTTTGTTTGTTATGTACAATTAAATTGGCTTGTTTATACATTATCTACTACCAGTTCATGATACTGTGTGATGTTATATTTTTACCAATGATACTGTGTGATGTTATATTTTTACCAATGATACGTATCATTGGTAAAAATATAACATCACACAGTATCATTGGTAAAAAATATAACATCACAGTATCATTGGTAAAATATAACATCACATAGTATCATTGGTAAAAATATAACATCACATAGTATCATTGGTAAAAATATAACATCACATATGTGTGATGTTATATTTTTTACCAATGATACTGTGTGATGTTATATTTTTTACCAATGATACTGTGTGATGTTATATTTTT